CTTTGAGAGGTACCTAACAGCAGACTTTCCCATTGCGATACGCTTTTTGATTTCCTGACTGCTGGTACCAAGAGTGTTGACTGTGGAGCCGAGCAAATTGAAGCTGTGAACACTCTCAATCTCTTCGTCATCCATCCTGACGCTGCCAATTGGTCCAGTGGCGAGAATCTTTGTCTTCTTGACATTGAGCCTTAGTCCATACTGAAGGCTGCAGTCCTTGACCCTTCGCAGCAAGTGCATGAGGTCCTCCTCAGTTTCAGCAAGCAGGGTTGTGTCATCTGCATAACGGAGATTGTTAATAGATCTTCTACCAATCCTGATGCCACAATTCTCCTCATAGAGCCCAGCCTCTCAGATAATCTGCTCTGCATACATGTTGAAAAGGTATGGAGACAGGATGCATCCCTGGCGTACACCCTTCCCAATTTTGAACCATGCAATGTTGCCCTGCTCTGTTCTGACTACTGCCTCTTGGTCCAAGTATAGGTTTCGTATTAGCACAATTAAATGTTCTGGGATTCCCATTCTCAGAGTCAGCCACAGTTTGTTATGGTCCACACAGTCAAATGCCTTTGCATAATCAATGAAACACAGATAGACATTCTTCTGGTATTCTCTGCTTTCAGCCAAGATCCATCTAACATCAGCAACGATATCCCTAGTACTACGACCCCTTCTAAGCCCAGCCTGGACTTCTGGCAGTTCTCTGCTGATGTGCTGATGTGTTGTCATACATGTAATGCCTAATCATATATCCCTATCAGACAGTTCTTCCCTTCATCTTTTCTATTGCATTCTTTATTATCTATCCACTCTTTAACCATTCTCTCCCCAACCTCCTATGTCTGTCCTGTTTCATCACAGTGGTATTATGCAGTATTTGTCCTTCTTTGACTCAGATATTTCATTCACAGTAATGTCCTCCACGTGCCCTCATGCTGCATAATGTTTTACAAATTTATTGTTTTCCAATGCTGTGTAACATTCCATTGTGTGAATGTGCCATAGTTTTTCTATCCATTCATCTGTTAATGGACACTTGAGTTGTTTCTATCTCTTTGCCATTGAGAATAACATAGCAATAAAATGGGTGTGCATATATCTGTTTGAGATTTGGTTTCTTTCAGATATAATCCCAGGAGTAGAATTGCTGGGTCAAATGGTATTTTTATTTCCAACATTTTGAGAAAGCGCCAGACCTCCTTTCATAGTGACAGCATCATTTTACATTTCACCAGTCCATTTTCTTTTTAAAATGCTTTTCTTGATTCAGGAAACTAATATCATGATAGGCTGCAACTCGGATTTTTAAGGCATTGATATAAAATGCTTGCTACAAAGTAGTCACATGATAAACGGAATCGATAAGTAGAACATTCTCAGTTATGACATTAGGGTCACATTCATTGTCAAAAAGAACATTTCAAGATCTTTCCTGAAGTACAATGCAGACAGTGATGGATAATATTCACACACATATAAGGAAAACCCACTGATACAGATATTTTCCAAAATTCATTATCTAGTCACTAAAGCCAAAGATGAAAAAAAATTGAGGATTTCTAGAAACTTCTACAGCTTGAAACTGATCAAACATATAATCAGGTAAGCATCATAGTCAGTGATTGGAATATAAAAATTAGAAATAGGAGGAGGATTGATAGTTGGAAAATATGGCCGTGGTGATAGAAATGAGGCCAAATATCACATAATAGAATTTGGTATGACCTGTGAATTATTTATTGCAAATCTCTCTCTCTTTTTTTGTTATACTGTTTTATTTACAAAGTTAGAGTACATTGTTTTTCACACAAGATTCTTCCCATTTCCTTCACCCCCACACACACCCATAGAATTGAGCAACCCTATTATTAACAGTCCCCCCCTGCTTCCACCCCCAGACCCCTTTGGATCCTCATATTCATTCTACCATAACAGCTTTATACAGTATTTGTTGTGGGACTGAGTTCCCTCAGCTTAACGCTCTCCAGTCCCACCCGTTAGGTAGTAATTTACAAAATCATTGCTCCTGAGTGATGTTGTTATGTGCTGTCGAGTTGCTTGCGACTCATAGTGACCCTAGGTACAGCAGCCCTAAACTCTGCTCTATCTCTTGCCAACTTTTTGTCTCTGACACGCCTATCTCCATTACCCCAGTGACGGAATTAATCCATCTCATTGAGGGTCTTCCTCTCCTGCGCTGTCCCTCCACCCTTCCAAGCATCATGTCACTCTCCAAGGACTGATCCTGCCTTGCAACATGTCCAAATTATGTTAGACAAAACCTCAGAATCCTTGTTTCCAAGGAGTAGCCTGGCTTCACCTTCTTTAGGATGAACCTGTTTGTTCTCCTAGTAGTCCATGGTATATTTAATATTCTTTTCCAGCACCAAAGCTCAAAGGCATCAACTCTCTTTCTATCCATCCTTAGTCATTGTCCAGCTCTCTGATGCATAGAAAGTAATGGCAAAGACCATGGCCTGTATCAGGCACACCTTAGTCTTCAGACTGACATTATTGCTCCTCAGTACCTTGGAGAGGTCTCTGACAGTAGACATTCCCAGACTTTTAGAACCATCAGCTGCTCCACAGGAAAAGGATAGACAGTCTCCTCCTGTGCAATTAACTGCCTCTGAAAACCTGCCGGAGGGTCAGCTATGAGTCAGTTCCGACTTGACAGTATTCAGCAATGACATCTTGGAACCAGTTTAGGCAGGGCAAGCATGATGGGATTTCTTTCTTTCTTTTTTTTTCTCCTCATTAAACTTGTTTTAATGGGTCTCAAAATTCTGTGACAAATTTTGGTCAAGTTATTTCCATTTAAAAAGTACCGATTTTAAAAACTAATAACTTAAAACTGCCACACGAAAAAGAAAACAAATGGTCCACAAAACATTCCTTTCCTTCTGAAGGTTTTACGATGCATTGTTATCATTAACCAGTCTTTTGCTATTTAACTTAAATGGCCAATTAAGACAAACAGTTCTGAGACCGTTCTTCCACCACTGATTAAGACTGGGGTGGCAGGTGTTATGGGTAATATTCATTTAGCCTTCTGAGCTTTCTGAGCAGACTTGGTGACCTTGCCAGCTCCAGTAGCCTTCTTGTCCACTGCTTTGATGACACCCACAGCGACAGTCTGCCTCATGTCTCAGACAGCAAAACGACCCAGAGGAGGGTAGTCAGAGAAGCTCTCCACACACATGGGCTTGCCAGGAACCATATCCACAATGGCAGCATCACCAGACTTCAGGAATCTGGGGCCATCTTCCAGCTTCTTACCAGAACGGTGATCAATCCTCTCTTTGAGCTCAGCAAACTTGCAATGTGAGCTGTGTGACAATCCAGCACAGGTGCATAACCAGCACTGATTGGGCCAGGATGGTTTAAGATGATCACCTGAGCAGTGAAGCCAGCTGCTTCCATGGGTGGGTCATTTTTGCTGTCACCAGCCACGTTGCCACGTCGAACATCTTTCACAGAGATGTTCTTAACATTGAAGCCAACATTGTCACCAGGAAGAGCTTCACTCAAAGCTTCATGGTGCATTTCAACAGACTTTACTTTGGTGGTAACGTTGACTGGGGCAAATGTGACCACCATGCCAGGCTTGAGAACACCAGTCTCCACTCTGCCCACAGGGACAGTACCAATACCACCAATCTTGTAGACATCTTGGAGAGGCAGACGCAGGGGCTTATCAGTTGGACGAGTTGGTGGCAGGATGCAATCCAAAGCTTCAAGCAGTGTAGTCCCACTGGCACTGTCATCTTTCCGGGTGACTTTCCATCCCTTGAACCAAGGCATATTAGCACTTGGCTCCAGCATGTTGTCACCATTCCAACCAGAAATTGGCACAAAGGCTACTGTGTCAGGGTTGTAGCCAATTTTCTTGATGTAGGTGCTAACTTCCTTAGCGATTTCCTCATATCTCTTCTGGCTGTAGGGTGGCTCGGTGGAATCCATTTTGTTAACACCAACAATCAGTGGCGTCACACCCAGTGTGTAAGCCAGACGGGCATGCTCGCAGGTCTGCCCATTCTTTGAAATACCAGCCTCACATTTACCAACACCAGCAGCAACAATCAGGACAGCACAATCAGCCTGTGATGTTCCTGTAATCATGTTTTTGATAAAGTCTCTGTGTCCTGGGCCATCAATGATGGTCACATAGTACTTGCTGGTCTCAAATTTCCACAGGGAGATATCAATGGTGATGCCACGCTCATGTTCAGCTTTCAGTTTATCCAAGACCCAGGCATATTTGAAGGAGCCCTTTCCCATCTCTGCAGCTTCCTTCTCGAATTTCTCAATGGTTCTCTTGTCGATCCCACCACATTTGTAGATCAGATGGCCAGTCATGGTGGACTTGCCCAAATCTACGTGCCCAATGATGACGATGTTGATATGGGTCTTCTCCTTTCCCATTTTGGCTTAGGTTTTGCGATGGTATTCACCAACACCTGCACTCTGGCGACAAACCCGTTGCAAAAAAGCTGGATTTCTTTTTACATACTTTGGACATGTGATCGGAAGAGGCCAATCCCTGGAAAAGGACAGCATGCTTGGAAAAGTAGAGTGCCCGTGAAGGGGAGGGAGACATGCAGTGATCGCCACACTGGGCTTAAACAGGGCAGAGACTGCGAAGATGGCTCAGCACTGCACAGCATTATGTCCTGTTGTGAATAAAGTGTCTCTGAGTCAGAGCTGACTCAATAGCACCACCACCACCAACAACAACAGATGGAGGTCTACAGTTGAGTCCTCCCACTCCGTGGGGCCAGAAGAGTTCCTTTCTAGTTGCCCTGAGTTGACAAGGACTTGTTCCTCTACAGAAATGACAACACATTTCCCGGGGGACTGTCTAGAGTACCCCTAGGGACAGCTGCTCGAGGACATGCACAATTAACCACTGTGTTATACTCAATGGGACACTCTGCCTTCACTTCCTCTAACCAAATCCTGTTTCTTTAGATAACAAAAGGTTCATTCTGAACGTTATGGAGTACGTCATAGAAAGCATGAGCCGAGAGGAGCTGCGAACCCTGCTGGACGACAACAAAGCCTGGGAGCGAGTTGTGGCCGAAGCTGGCCTGTCCAGGTAACCTCCAGAGTGCTCCAGAAAGGGCTCCTGGATCTCTCAGCTTCATTAGTTGCCTCCTCCAGGCAGTCTCCAGTGGTTGGGGTTAAGGAGACAAATGCCCCCTGGGGAATGTTTGCTCCGTTGTTCATTGACACTGAAGGGTCTCGGGCTGAGAAGAGATGACACCTGCTGGGGCTGCATCATAGCTGCCATCTGACAGCTGTCTAACCTAACTCTGTGCAAGATAGCCACCACTCACAGTCAGGGTCCTCAGTTGCTATGAAATTTCTCGGGAGGAGAACAAGGCAAATGCCTGTAAAGAGTTTAGCATAAGAACTGATACACAACACATGTTCAGTTACAAAGTTAGTTGGATACTATGTAGCATGCAGGAGCAATGATTTTGTAAATTATTACCTAACATGGGAGGGACTGGAGAGTATTGTGCTGAGTGAACTCAGTTTCACAAAGATAAATATTGTATAAAACCATTATTGTAGAATGAGTATAAGGATCCAAGAGGGACGGGAGAGGTTGAAAGCAGAGGGAAGAGGATGTGCAAGGGGAAGAGGGATTAATCATGGGGTTGTACAATTTGTCGGGTGGGAGGATGAGGGTTATGGAAAGAATTTGTTCTTGAAAACAGTGTATTCGAATTTTGTAAATACACTAGTAGAAAATTAAAAAAGGGGGGAAACCTCCAAAACCCAAAAACATTACACAACATGAAACAAAACAAAACCCCAAACCCAAACAACAAAATTAGCCGGGAGGGAGCAGACACCAGTGATCTCCTTCTGTGAGGTCAGACTCAAGCAGGACTTCATTGAGAATGAGGGATAGGTCAAAGCTAGGGAACCAAATGTAGTTATTCCATTCATGCCAAGACCCAAGGAGGCCTGGACACAGGAGCAGAGCTGTGGGTGAGGGCAGAACAAGTTGAAGGAGTGTTAGGAAGGCTTGGGGCAGCACAGGCAGGCTGGCAAGAGGTGAGATGCTTGAGTCACGCACTTTATGGACACTTTGGGCCTAGCAGAGGACATTGAGGAAGAGAAGGATGTTCCTCCCATCCTTACATTGATGGCATCAATGGTGGACACTGGGAATCAATAATAATTTTTCCCTGCATGCTCTGAGAGCTGGGAGCATTCTCCACTTCCAGTTGACCCTCTTCTTCTATTTACTCAGCGCAGTGGCACAGTGATTACGTACGTGTCTGCTAGTCACAAGATCGATGGTTCAAATCCACTAAATGCATCAAGGCAGAAAGGCATGGTTGTCTAATTATATATGCGTTACATTGCTGGAGAGACATTGCTGGGATGATTCTGGTCTGTTTTGTAAGGTCACTATGAATTGGAATCAACACTATAGCAATACTTTTGTTTCTTTTCCCTTATTTACACCAACCCTCCTTGAGTAACATAGAGGTGATGGGCCTTTGTGATGAGTTCCAAGGTCAGTGTGGGCAGATGGCATTTTAAAATTTGTGACTTGTCACATCTTTTCTCACAAATTTCCACCATAGAGAAAAAGAATTCCTCTGCTGGTCTGTCTAAACGGAAGTATTCACAAGCTGAATGATTTATGTATTTCATTCTTCAAGTTTTTACCATTTTTAAGAGGTACTTTAAACTTGCACAAGGGCCTTGGAATGCCTACATACTAAAGTCATCATCAACTAAGGTGTCAGGTAGGCTAGGTGGAGAGGTCCCGAAGTTGGGAATATTGGCTGGTGAGTCAAGAGTCTGTCAAAGTGGGGTGCTGAGAGGAGCTATGCTTCTAACTCAGGCTCCAGCTGCCTAGTCCCTTGGGACAATGACTGGACTCAGTGACCTTCAGCTAGGAAGACCCAGGGCGTCAGACTTGGGAAGAGAGCAAGTGCCAGGCAAAATGCAAACTTCTTGTTTTGAGTTTACTCAGACTGTCTAGGTGCAGATTGTTCCGATCCAATCTTACTTCTCTGTGTTTATCTGGGGCCATGCTCCTACGTAAGCACTTTTGTTAATGAAATGCATCTGTTACCATCTCCAGCAAAGAAGCCTGTCTCGTGGCGAATAGTAACCCTCTCCATAGTTTGGAGGTATTGGGGTCACCAAGAAAGACATGACTCAGATATAAGTACTAGATGAAACAGCATTTTCTTATAAAAAGATAAGTCAGAGCAAAGCCATCTTGAATAGTAGGCATGGGTGCCCATTAGCCAGACTGTGTCATCCCCAGTTGGCTTAAGGAATTGATCTGCATGAACTCCCCTTGCGCAGCAGGAAAAGATTCTGTTCTTTTCCTCTTGGGAACAGATACAACAATGGGTGCGATCCAAAGACATATAACGCATATGGTTAATTAAGCTGTTCCCGCGTAAGTTAACATAACCTCAGGACAAGTGGGAAATGATATGTTGATAGGTCATTATCTGCAGTGGGATGTTTGTGGACCAAAACAGCCCAGAAGAGGGAGTTTTCCCCACATTCTCATCTCATCCAGGTGACATTTTCTATCTTGGTCACAAAGGTCATTCATAGTAAAAAAGAGTAAGATGTAAAATTATGCTCTGACCATCCCTTCCCCATGGTGCTGACTCAGCCTTGGGTGAGAAAACACCTTTATCTACCATGAAAGAGCATCCGAGGGAGCTCTGGTGGCTTAGTGGCAAGAAGCTGCACTGCAATCCCAGAGGTGCACGGTTCGAATCCACCGGATGCTTTGCTGGAGAATGAGGGGCAATCTCCTCCTGTACCAATCAGATCCGATTTGATGGTACACACACACACACACACAATTTTTTTTTAAAAGAGCGTCCGAAGATGATTTTTTGCTTATTTATGTCCTAAGGAGTTGCATAAGTCCTATGGAACATTGGGGATGTTTGCATTGGAACAAAGGTCTTTGTGTTTATAGAATTCTTCTCCATTTTATTTACAGTAGAAGTTATATGATTTGTGAAGGACATATCTTCTCAAGCCCATTTTACAAATAAGAAAACAACTTTTCTTCATGTCTCTTTGTTATTGCAGGGATGAGGCAGACGAACTACAGAAAGCTCTGAACAAGCTTTGCAAAGTCATGGCCGCCGAGGGCACAGATGGGTTTAAAAAAAAGTTGTCGGATACAAAGAGGTTATTGAGAGAGTTTCCTCAGGTGAAGATGGAGCTTGAAAAATGTATAAGAGAGCTCCATAACCTTGCAGACAAGATACAGAAGACCCACAGGAAGTGCACCATCTCCAGTGTGGTGGCCAACTCTACTGGCATCGTCTCTGGTGCCCTGACCATCACTGGCCTGGTCTTGGCACCTGTGACAGCAGGTTTCAGTCTGGGGCTCATGGCAACGGGCACAGGCTTGGGAACAGTAGCTGCAGCTGCTAATGTGTCCACCACTATTCTGGACTACTCAATAACTTTATCAGCAAAAGTCAGAGCCAGCAAGCTGGCAGCAACTGGAAATGATGTACAGAAGGAAGTTTTGAAGACTGTGGTTCAGAACCCGATCAAATTGGGTTCCATCATAGAGAGCTGCATCCAAGATGTACAAGTCATTAAGAAGAACATCAAAGCCATCAAGCTGGCCCATGCCAACCCTAAATTGGCAGCCAATGCCAAGGTTTTCACGGCTGGTGGAAACCTCTCGATCCAGGAAAGTTTGGAGGTGCAGAAAGCCTTTAAGGACACTGTACTCTCAATGACCAAAGGAGCCCGAATCATGGGTATGGCCACCACAGGCCTGTCCCTTCTGGGAAACGTGGTCAGCCTTGTGAGAGAATCAAAGCACTTGTATGAGGGGGCAAAGGCAGAGTCAGCTGAAGAGCTGAGGCTGAAGGCTGAGATGATGGAGATGCAGCTGGAGGCTCTCATTCAGGTCTATGAGATTCTGCAGAGCCTGGGGCAGGAAAAGCCTCAGCAGTACAGGGAGCAGGAGGGCTGTCAAAAGGGGGGAAGCATTTTATGATGGATTTTGTGCAACTAAATATTCACACGTTGCCACATACTTTTAAATTGATGACCGTACTTAGCAACACATTTTTTGATGTATTACTGAATAATTAACAAAAAAATGCATTAACACACTTCATATGAATGATGTTCCTTTTTTTATTAATTAAAAGGTGCATGATGGCTATTGCTGTTATTTTCGGAAACACATTAAAAAGTTTGGTGTTTCACGGCGAGCTCTGGTGGCCTAGTGGCAAGAAGGTGTACTGCAATCCCAGAGGTGCACAGTTCAAATCCACCAGATGCTTTGCTGGAGAAGGAGGAACAGACTCCTCCTGTACCAGTCAGCTCTGATTTGACGGTACACAAACGCACAAAAAAGAATAATAATAATAAAAAAGTTTCGTGTTTCTGGGGCGCTCTAGTGCCTTGTGGCAAGAAGCCGCACTGCAATCCCAGAGGTATGCAGTTCAAATCCACCAGATACTCTGCTGGAGAAGGAGGGACAATCCCTTCCTGTACCAGTCAGGTCCAATTTGACGGTACACGCACAAAATAAAAAAATTTTTTTTTAAATTTTGGTGTTTCTGTAGCAAAGCCTGGCATGAGAAAGGTAAATGCAAATGTCAACTGGCTTCCACACAAGGGAGGAAGTGGAGCTTGAAAGCTGGATGAAGCTCCCAAACAAGTGCTCCTGGGTTATCTTGAAACCTTAAACCAAACACATGCCCAGAAGTCATCTCAAAACCAGGTAGTTGTGTAGCTTCACAAGTCAAGGATGGCTGCCTCGAGCACTGTGTTCTTTCAAGAGCCGTCTACATACGACCAAAGTGACACCAGCAACTGGAAAGTTCAGCTGGGAAACCCCAGGGTGGAGGCCTGGTGCCCAGTCTTACTCTGCTCCTTCCGGTGGAGCTGGAACAGCCACTGTTGACTCTCCAGCTAGTTTCAGAGGCTGTAAATCACAGGGGAGGAGATTGGCCATTTTCATCCCAAGAAACCGCTATTGGACGAAAACTACCCCAAAGCCATGGATTTGAATTAACAGAGCAACTCCCTACAGATTAGGCCACCGGAGCTTCCTGTGTGGACCAATCAAGTCACAAAGGAGAAACTCTAAATACTACAGTTGAGCAGAGGTTGATTTGGGGGAAAGCCAAACGCAAATGCCAGGAACATGCCAAGCAATCTTGTGATATGAAATGAAGACTAGGAAGTTTGAAGTTAGAATACCCAGCTTTTCTGGGTCTGTATTTGCTTCTTTGTTGGGAAGGGCAGCATTGGAGATGGTATCTCAGGTCCTTTGGTTCTTCCCACCTTGACTTCTGTAGCCTTTGGATCAATAAATATTGACTGATGCCTGAGCTCTTGCTGTGTTGACTATCTCACATGGGCCATGAAGGCCTCACTTCCTCCCCCATGAACCTGTCTTCCAGGATATTAGGGGTCAAGACCCTTATGGTCCTTTTGCTCATTCCCTAGACTCTTACTGTCCCATTCAATTACTTGCCTCAGACTCTGAGATGCAGCCTGTCCCAGTGTAGACTCTACATGAGTGTGTGTGTGTGTGTGTGTGTGTGTGTGTGTGTGTGTGTGACTTAGGTTGAACACTAGGTTTTCAGTCTCACAATCATGGCCCAGGATTGACACAACACTTGGGTATGTGTATGATTAGGATTCAGATGTGGGGACTGTGTCTATACATGAGGGAGGCTAGAGATGGACGGACAGAGACAGACTCACAGACATCCTCATCCAAGCTAATGACACATTTCAACTAGACTCCTGTAAGCGTCTCTAGAACACTCATCCTGTGATTCTCTGCATAACACCAGCCCCACCTATACCTGAGTGCTGCCTATTCTCCACATAAGGCTAGAATGACTGCTTCGAACATTTTGTTCTTGTTGTTAGGTACCATCAGGCCAACTACAACTCACAGTGACCCTACGAACAACAGCTCAAAGTCTTATCCTATTCAGTGCCATCATCATGGTCTCTACCTTCCTCAAGGCCATTTTTGCAGTCCCTATGTCAACATGGCTCATAGAGGGTCTTCTCTTTGATTGAGTTCCTGCTTTTCCAAATATGATTTTATTTTTCCGAGGACTGAAGATTCCTGATGACGTGAACAGGCTTTGGAAAGGCAGAGGCCCAGGAACCTTTAAGGGTCTCAGCACCAGAAGCTGAGCTTGTCTCCAGGCCTCAGATCCACAGCACTCTGACTCAGAGGGTTTTCAATTTTAGTTCCACATTTCCTTGGGAGAAATTCTGCCTGTTCAAGGGAACACCTTGAGCTACCACCAATGTCTTGGTGACAGAATTCATCAGACGCATGGCACCAGGGGATGGTTCCCAGCAGGCTGATCCTAACTGAGACCTTTGTGGGAACTTTCTCCTCATCCTCCTAGGAGACAGGAGGTGCAGGAACACTGTCCACGGACTGCTTCCCTTTCTACTATTCCCTTACTTGATCTGCTGGGTTGCTCCTAAAGTCAAAGATAACTGTGTTTTGCTAGTTGTTAAGTGCTGTGGAATCAATTATGACTCACAGTGACCCTATGAAAAACAGATCTGAACCCCGTTCTATCCTGTGCCATCATTATACTTCCTGACACACTAGATGCCATGGCAGGAGCCACTGTGTCAGTCCACCTGGTTAAGGGTCTTCCACTCCTTCACCAACCTTTCACCTTTCCAAGCATCATGTCCCTCTCCAAGGAATAGCCCCTTCTAGTAACATGCCTGAAGTACGTGAGGCAAAGCTTCCAAGTAACTATGAAGACCATGGCCTGGATTAGGCACATCTTAGTCTCGAGATTGACATAGTTGCTTTTCAGCACTCTGGAGAGGTTCCTGACTGCAGATTTCCCCAATGCAATTCGTCTTTTGATTTCCTGACTGCTGGTGTTGAGAGTGTTGATTGTGGAGCTGAGCAAATTGTAATTGTTAACAACCTAAATATCTTCTCCATCGATCCTGGTGACTATCTTTGTCTTCTTGATGTTGAGCTTCAATCCATATTGAAGACCATAGTCGTTGACCTTCTGCAGGAAGTGCTTCAGGTCTTCTTCAGTTTCAGCAAGCAAGGCTGTGTCATCTGCATAACATAGGTTATTGAGTCTTCCTCCAATCCTGATGCCACATTCCTCTTCATAAAGTCCAGCCTCCTGAATGACCTGTTCTTCATATAGATTGAAGAGATATGGAGATAGGGTTAATCTCAGATGCACGCCTTTCCTGATTTTGAACCATGCAATGTTTCCCTACTCTGTTCTGAGGACTGCTGAGGCCCAACTGCTGAGGTCCAAATATAGGATTTACATAAGCACTATCAAGTGTTCTGGGATTCCCATTCTCTTCAAGTTTAACCACAATTTGTTGTGATCCACATAGTCAATCAAATGCCTTTGCATAGTAATGAAACACAGACAGACATTTCTCTTTCTGTCAAGATCCATCTGACATTGTTGATAATATCTCTAGAGCCATGACCTCTTCTAAACCCAGCTTGTATTTCTGGTAGTTTTCTGTCATGTACTGTCCAGTCGTTTCTGGATTATCTTCAGCAGGATTTTTGCTTGCATGTGGTATTACTGATACTGTTTGATAATTTCCACACTCTGTCAGGTTACCTTTTTTTGGAAAGGGAATAAATATAGATATTTTAGTCCGTTGACCAGGTTGTTTTCTTCCAGATTTCTTGACACAACCTGGTGAGCACATCCAGGGAAGCCTCTGTTTGTTGAAAAATGCCAGTTGATATTTCATCAATTCCTGGGTTTTATTTTTTTACAAAGTCCTTCAGAGCAAGCAGCCTGAGCGTTCTCCTTCATCACTATTGCTTCTTGATCTTGCATTGTTTCTTGAAATTCTTCTGTGTCATCCAATTATTTTTGGTACAATGACTGTGTATATTCCTTCCATCTTCTTTTAATGCTTCCTGCATCATTCAGCATTCTGCCCATAACATCCTTAAGTATTGAAACTTGCAGCTTACATTGGTTCTTTAATGGGTTTAGAAGGGGTTGTGGTACTAGCGATATTGTAACTGATGTTAGATGGATCTTAGCTGAAAGCAGGGAATACCAGAAGAATATATATCTGTGTTTCATTGATTATGCAAAGGCGTTTGACTGTGTGGACCATAACAAACTGTGGCTGACTCTGAGAAGAATGGGAATCCTAGAACACTTGATTGTTCTAATGCGAAACCTATACTTGGACCAAGAGACAGTCATCAGAACAGAGCAAGGAAATACTGCATGGTTCAAAATTGGGAAAGGCGTATGCCAGGGATGCATCCTATCTCCATACTTTTCAACCTGTATGTGGAACAGATTATCTGAGAGGCTGGGCTCTATGAGGAGAAGTGTGGCATCAGGATTGGTGGAAGATCTATTAACAATCTGTGTTATGCAGATAACACAATCCTGCTTGCTGAAACTGAGAAGACCTCGTGCACTTGCTGCAGAGGGTCAAAGACTGCAGCCTTCAGTATGGACTGAGGCTCAATGGCAAGAAAATAAAGAGTCTCACCACTGGACCAATTGGCAGCATCAGGATGAATGGCAAGGAGATTGAGATTGTTCACAGCTTCAGTTTGCTTGGCACCAGCAGCCAGGAAATAAAAAAATGTATTGCGATGGGACAGTCTGCTGTTAGGGACCTCTCTAAAGTACTCAAGAGCAACGGTGTGTCTTTGGAGACTAAGGTGCATCTGATACAGGTCATGGTCTTTGCAATCACTTGTTATGCATCAGACAGTTGGACAATGACTAGGGAGGATAGAAGGAGAATTGATGCCTTTGAGCTGTGGTGCTGGAGAAGAGTATTGAATGTACCATGGACTGCCAAGAAAACAAACAGATTCATCCTTGAGAGGGTTAAACCAGGCTGGTCCTTGAAGGCAAGGATTCTGGGGCTTCGTCTGATATACTTTGGACATGTTGTAAGGCGGGACAGGTCTTTGGAGAGGGACATCATGCTTGGTAGGGTGGAGGGACAGCGCAGGAG